CCTACAGATGTTTCAATGAGAAGCAATATGGACATGCAAAGTTGTTTCAGGCTTCTGCAAATAAAGGTCAGTGGACATAGGTAGCAATTTTTCTAAAAACTTCCACAATGGAATTCTATTTCTTGGATACTTACTGCCCATGTACTTATTAACATAACCATTTCTGCACCAAAATATCTGATCTGAGTACAATGTGCCCAGGGACTCAGTCTGCACTTCTATTCCTTTTGATACATTCTGAACAGCTGCTTTAAACAGACTGCAGACACATATTGTAAACAAAAAACATAACTCGCACATCCTGTAAAATATTTACCACACAGGCAGTACTAAGAATAAACAAAACCTTTACAACGAGACTAAACTAATTTTCTTGCACATATTTATGAGGCAACGTTGCTAGCACATACCTAGTTGCACTAAAAATACCATTCAAGAATTCCCTGTAGCAATGGGTGTTTCTGGTTATCTAAAACCTCTATTGAACCCAAGCACAGGGTTTGTAAAGAGGATTAAGAGCTAGGCAAGACAACATAAACTAAATGTTTTCAACTACTTTCTTAAAAGTTAAAAGCAGCAGCCACACAGAGCAAGTGTTAACATCTATTAGCAAAGAAGTAAAACATAAAATCCATGGTTGCAAGGGCTCAGCTACAGTACACTTAAATCAAGGAGAATAGGATCAAGCTAGATGAATATTTTAAATGAGAAGAAAATGCTTTGGTTTAACTCACAAGGAGAAATAAGACATCAAACAAGTTCTGCACAAACATAATATTACGACAATGAATGAAGCAACAAATGTCAGATTTTGATGTATTCTCCGGTGGATATTTGATTAATAACACCCACAAAATCCAATGAAATTAACAGCCCTAAGTCCAAGAAACCACAATAGCAGCAGAGGCACAGGAAACAGCTGTAAAACCTATTCCGTTTCACAACAGGCATTTCTGAGACGTCTTTTCTGTATGGCACAAAAAACCCGAAGTCCTTAAACTGCCATAGTTATTTTTCCCTAAACGGGTAACTTTATTACTTCATTTCTTATGGAATATTACTGACTTCTGAGGGGACTGAATGAAATCATCACGCTGTCAAAAACAGCTCTGGAATGTGGTTTTGGACGGTCTGACCATTAGAAGATCACTCCACCCAGCAAAACTACTCCTACTTAAAAGCTCACATGACAAGAAAAGTCAAGTGTCCTGTTGCAACAATTCTTCATCTCTCCATTTTGTACAGTAAATATTTAAATAAAGGCAGAATCTTTTTCTTGTTCCTGCTGCTTTTGTCTGCATTTCTCTTCTAATCCACCCACACATACCTGAAGACATAGTCTTTGATTTAGGTATCATCATTTGCCTCTGAAAGCTTTGCTGATCTCATAAACTGAGGTTTAGACCTCATTAGAGGTAAGAGCAAAAGAAATTGTATGAACTCAAAAGCTGTAAAGGTGCTAAACTCACTATAATCTCACATATTGAGTGGCCTCTGAGTACACACTGAAATCAGTTGCAACAGTTTTGCCTCCGGTAAAAGCTATTTATCAGTAAACATTCAGTTACATAAATACAGACACCTTCTTAATCTGAAAACAAATGAAGGGTCTCAAGTTTCACCAAATTCAAACACATACACTCTATTACAGGTATCATCACATACATTTTTATATAAAGATGTTGTCTCCTGAACTCCAGCTCAATGCAAAAAACCTGGAGCAATCCCTTAATGACATAAAACTTTAAATAATTTCTTTAAAACCTAGATGGGATACTGCGGTAACTTGCACCTCAGTGTTTCAGTGTGAGACTAGAAACATTTCTCTGCTACAATTAAATCTTTAATCCCCACCTTGAGGTTGGAATAAATATGCCACAACAGGAATTGCCCACAGACAGATTAAACTGCATTTCATTATTTCCAAAAGGTGAGCTACAACCTTTGCAACAGGGAAGAACCTTACCTTCTGTCCCTGACAATACTTTTGACACAGTGATCTCTATGATAATGAACAAACTGTTGACAGGTCATCCTGATTTCCTCAGGTACAGAGGGGTCTGTATGCCCTGTTGCTTCTCTTCCACCCCAGAAAAATTCAAGTCTTAAAAAAAAAAAAAAAAAAAAAAAGGTAAAAAAGAAAAATTAAAGCCAACAAACCAACCAGGGCCATTTTTGGGAAACTACAGTTTGTGCCCAATACGTTACATACAATCTTCCTAATATACCTGTATGACTTTTGAACAGTTAGAGGTTTTATTTGTGGGTCAGGCAGAAGGAAAGCCAGAGAGCAGTTGGGAGCTAGAGTTAGCTGCTGGATTCACACAGCAGCCAGCTAGCTTGGAGTTAAAGATGGCTTTGTACAGCTTCCTCCCCCACAATGGAAGTGCCCATCCACACAAAATACTTGCATGAGGTTACGAATACAGAACTTTAAAGTAGTAACGATGTAATCTGGTTCAGCATCCACATCTAAGTTTCAATTTATCAGCTGAAATTATTTCTGAAGACCCCTCATTTAGCAAGTATTTTGTCTATAGGGAGCCTGCAGGACTTTTGTCCTTTAAAGCATCATTAGGGCAGCAATAAAACCTCTGCACAAGTGAGAGAGAAAAGAAATTTGGAAGACTGAACAAATAGGAAATGGAATGCTTGGCATGAACACTCAATACCTTTCAAAGATGATTATCAGTAATAACTTAGATTATAGGTGTAAGTGTAAAGATTCTATTTACCTTCGCTTGAATGGCAGAATAATTAAATGCTTATCTAAGCCAAAAATACCAAAGCAAATGAAGCCCTGGAGAAAAAAAATACAGAAAAAGCAACATTAAGCAAAGCCTTTGGTTTCTATAGAACAGAAATAAAATGTTAAAAACTCAGTGCCAAACATACATGAAAAGCATCCCCGTTCTCTAGATATCATTCAAAATGCATTTTGTTTCTGCTTTGACTTTTCATTTGGACCTTAAAGAGGCAGATTAATACATCGTAACAGCCCATCAAACAGACCCTTTAAGAAACAGTTTGGTAAACCCAATTCTGTGACATGGCACTTGACACTTAGGGATAACTGTCTATCCCGACACAGCCAGTTGTTTCAATCTGTCCTTGTTAATGTCAAGAAAAGAACAGACTTACTGTAGAACTAGAATGCTCTACTTCATTCATTTTTCTGTGCCACTTTTGTATAAAACTACTATTATTACTTGATACTGCAGTACATCTTTAGGCACACTTGCCCATGGACCTGGAAAACACTCCTCTACTGTGTGTATTAATACTGTCTTGCTTTCACCTTCGTAGGTAACAAAGCTACTGTGTGTCAGTTTGCACTGAAATAGGCCACGTGCAGCTGGAACAATTATCTCTGAGCTAACTCTGCTGTCACTGAAAGTAGACACAGTAATTTATGCCTCTCACAACTGTTGTACTGGTGTAATGCCACAGAAGCAATACTGGTGAAACCTTCTTGAAATTCCTACTCAGTTTCCATAAACATTTGGCATTGGCTTGTCATTTGTACCTTTGAAAGCATTTCTGCATATGAAAGACATGCATTATGATAAGAAAGCCAAAGGAGAAGTTGGAGGCAAAAGGACAAAACAACATAAGGAGCTGGGAACGTCAGGATTGTTCGACAGCTTCAACTTAACAGTGCTTGAAACAGCACCTGCTGCAACACCCACTAACACAGTCATTTTCAGAGCAAACATTGGTAAGTACCTGTCCGAAATTAAACACAGCACAGAAGAACTGCAATTCCACATAGAGCCTTCCAGGCTCTTGGTTGAACAGCCACCACAAGCAACTGGATAGATTCTGTAAGGAAAATAAAAATAAAAAACCAATAACAGAACACACAAACCTCACCTGACTGTCAAAAATCAAAAGCACTTTCTTACTCTTCACACTCTAATAGATTTTCATGGTATCTATTTAGTGAATGATTCAGATAGGGGATAAACACCTTAAACTATCATTTTAGTTAGGGTTTTTAGCTGGGGAGGGGGAAGTTTGTTTGTTTTAAACATAATAATGCAGTGTAGAGGTTCTGCCTCTTTACATGTTTACAGAGGGAACTTGTCTTAAGCATAATTAGGTTTTCAGCTCAACAGACAATATTAGCCCAGACAGATTTGCAGTGTTTGTCTCTAGGGCTGTTGAGCTGAGACCAATGCTTTCTACAGATTTCCTGCATAGTTAAGATTATATTAAGCTGAAGCACATACCACTTTAGCTATTTCAGATGCCTGAAAGAAGGAAAAAACCCTTCCAAGTTAACCCCTTTGGGTGTAAAGGCTAATTCTTTAATGTAAGTGGTCTTATTTCATAGCATCTATGCAATCATTCAGATACAACTAAAATACAGGCTAACATTTGGGATACCTCTTAAATATAGAAGATGTATAAAAAACATGGAATATTCGATACAGAAAATTTGAGAGAAACATTCAATTTTGTAATTTGCCAGAGTTTGAAAAGCAACTGTAGTAGCTATTAATGCAGATAGCTGTGCCACACTGTCCTGCTTTGCAGTATTATATATTTGTGTCACAGTATTTTCCATTTCAAAGAAAAATACTCCCCTCAACTGTCATCCATAAGAAACTCAACTTTGAGCATTACACTCAAACGCAGGCACCTGTTTCTCATCCTTGTCACAGTTAAAAATTCAAATTCTATCCCAAAAGCATTATATTCTGGCATTTCACACTTGCACACAGGAGCAGCCACCACCACAGCTGGGATCTCCTCAGTGATGATGTGTACCAACACTAACTTCGCTCTGTTGCCTCCAAACCACCACTAAAAGCAGCAAAGTTGCATTTTTCAGTACAAATAATCTTATTCTTCATTACTAAAACAACAGAGAAACCCAAGTTCCAATAAAAGTGTGATCAGATGGAACAATTTTTGTACAGTTTCCTTCAGAATTAGAATTTAGTTTATATTTTTAATCGATTATTGTCTAGGGAAGAAGACTAACTCTTGAAAAAAATGTGAAGAGGGACAGCATTAATGAATTAATTACTGAATTATCTAATTACATTTTTTGTTCCTTTAGGGTTCTCCAGTGTGCCTTGCTCTTAACCTGCCTTTCATTTACGATGTGGTACAGCAAAATTTTGACATCCCTCTTCCAGTAAGGGACCAAAATAAAGCCTCTGCTTTATTTAATGAACAGCTACATGAGTAATTAGAAGATTTTTACTGGACTGCCTACATAGCTTCCCTAGAAATCATTCTACCTCAATGAGTTAAACAACATGGGGAGAAAAGATATTTACAGCAAATAGGCCAACAACAAGAAGCAAGCACAGCAGCACATGTCTGGCCAGCTGTTTGTCTGCAGTCTGTAGAAGCTGTTCTTCCTGAGCCAATACACAGGTTTGAGCACTGCAATGTCTCACACACTGATCCACTGAAAAACAAACCAGAAACTTTCCATTAGGCTTCTATCTCACAAACTCCATGAGCAAACTTGTTAATGGAACTTGCTAAGTCAAATTACCTTGTAAGTTATCTGAAGTGACACATGCAAAACTTAATATTGGCTTTGATAATAACCTGTTCAGACATCTACTCTGAAATGAAACAGGAGTTTACATGTGCTCCTAAAATGAAGAAACTTTTTGCAACAGAATTCTTCTGTCAAAGATTTAATGCAAACTGAACATGTGGTTCACATTTAGAAAACACTACCAGAAAGAATGAAAAAACCCAAATAGCCATTTCTGAGAACAGTTTTTAAACTTCGAATTAACTTCTGAATTCAGCTCTAATGTTTTCACTCTGCATCTCAGTGCTGCTGAGCTCTAGATCAGCCAATCAACCATATTTAAGTTCCATATTTTTAACTTAGTGTGTCAGAACACCACCATAATTCTGCCAATCAAAAGAGCCAAACACAAAAGAGAATGGACGCTTGTCTTGCAGTTACAGAGTTCTGAGGAGTTCTGAGTACCTTCCTCTAGATGGCAGTGAATAACTTCCTGGCGAGGGCATACCTAAGAATTTGCACCAGACACCTGTCACAGCAGTTCAGTGGGAAAGTAGAAGAATTAGCAATTATTGCAGCGAAACTTACATAAGTGTACGCATTACGATTTGCTTTTCCTGATTTATATTTCTGAAGTGTTCACTCAGGGGATGGAAATAATTTCCACTCAATTTGAAGGTATTTTCTGCCTTATCTTTTAGGACAAGAAAATTAAATTGCCTTCCTCTATCAGTGAAGGCATTCTTATGATGCTTGTCTGAATTGCTTAATAGATAAAATAGATGGCAATAGTTAGAAAGTCAGCATTTTGTGAGAGGAAACATGACTGGAGTATACTCCAGTGTGAAAGATACAGATTTGTTGAAAATAATGTTGCTTGCAAACAAAGCATAAGGACATGAACTTCCTTGTTAAGAATGTAAAAACAAGCAAAAGGAAATAGGAGAAAAAGCAAGGCTGTCCTGCAGCTAGCTCTGATTACTGAAAGTGATGTACAATGAGAATGTGCTGGACATGCAGTTTTCTGTCAGGTGCTAAACTGTCACTTTTATCCATTGTTTCTATTTCAGTGACTCCTAAGGCTCTCTTAGTCAATTTTCTCCCCTAGACATGAACATTACAGCAGCATGGACATTTAATCTAATTTACAGTAAGCACTTCCTCCTCTAGATCTCATTCAGTGTTCAAAACTTGTGTGTGATTACAACAAAGGCTTTTTTAAAAGATGCAAGATGTGAATATGAGAATGTAAAAAAGTTTGTTTGAGTTAAAAGCTTGAGGCAAAGTAGGGTGATGCACTGAGCTTCCCAGCATCCAAACCAGACAATAACGGAGGGGTAAAGTCTGAATGCTCAGAAGGACATCTTAATATAGCTCAGGAGTAAAAAATAACACTCAAAGCAACTGCCCATCTTGAGCATGGAGAGAAAGATTTCAAACAACTATCAGCAGAAAAGAACAAACACCTACCATATTGCCTAACACTTGAATTTTTACCTAGGTAGAGTTGAGTGAACAACAGCCCCAGGTTTCTTTGTGAGAACAACATACAACTGCTGTGGAAGGGTTTGTAGTATTTAAACAAGGAGATACTACTGCTTTACCTGTCTCTATTGGAGGAATCTTGCCTTCAACAGCATTTGACACTACTTTGCTCTCTTTAGCACAGGATAATTCACCATTTGTTGTCTGACAAGAACAGCAACCTATTAAGCACACACAGTAATAGGATAGTTAGCTTCCTACACTAGTCTAATTTATTTTCCAAGTATAACAATATATTCTATGTAGCTTTAACTATTATGCTCAAAAATAACCCAAAAGGAAAAGACAGACCTAATTTTTCCCATTTGCTGAGAGGGTAAACAGGTTACATTATTAATATATAGAGGTGTTTAACATAGCACTACCACCATGGAAGCAACACAGGAACTTTCAGCTAGAGGCAAAAAAAAATTGGAAATTATCAAAAAGGCTACATAGAAACAAGTATTAGAAACGCATTGAGTGTTTCTGCTGGACTATAATTCATTCTCAGAGAGATGGTTAAGTGGCTAAACAATCTCAGATGCCTCGTGGTCTGCATTTATCACATCCTTATCAAGATACCACTACTTACATAAAAACCATATACATGTGCTTTCTTTTCTTGTCCACTTCCCCAGCCCTTACAGTGATAGCAATCAAACTCTTCTCAGAAACATATACCTAAATCCTTGGGTAGTTATATCTAGATTTTCTTCTGTCCTAGTGTAACACCTGAAGGTGTGAACAACTGTCCTTCCCAGGTCAGAATGAAATTTGGAATATTATTTTATAGCATCCTGAGTCATTTATTCTTTCTACAAATTTACTTTCTCTACCTCTTTCTGCAGATGTCAGTGCAGAAGACTCTGGAGAAGACTTTGCAGAAGATTCTGGAGAAGGCTGTGCAGAAGATTCTGGAGAAGGCTGTGCAGAAGATCCAGGAGAAGGCTGAGGCACAGTGGCTGAAATGTGATTTTGCTCTCTCCCTCCCACTTTAACCTCTGCTGCTGGGCTACGTGGTGAATATGGGTTCAGCACCTCATAGCTTGACTCTTGCCTATTTCTGTTCATGCACATAAGTGAGACACCTGACATCACTATACTTATGAACAGGATCACAGCTGTGGTAATTATCTGTTAAGAAAGCAAAGAAAATGCACTTAAATACAGGGAAATAGTTGCAGATATCTTTCTAACTTCTGTACTTTTCTAAATGTACTTATGAATGCATCAGAGTAATACAAATTTACTGTGCTTGTGCCTTGTGGCACTGAAAGAACAATCAGTATCTGAGACCAATTTTCCTTGACTGAGTAACTCAGGGTTTTTTTTGTGTTTTGGTTTTGGTTTAAAATTTGTTCTTGATCCCTATTATCCATGCAATCCAAAAATATTCCCTCATCATCTTTCCCCTCAGGATCTCTAGTGCTCCAGGTTAAGTTCTGCTCAGGTAACTTTTCATTCCAGAGAGTGATGTGCTCTCATTTCCATGCTTTTGCCAATGGGGAGCAGCCTATTAATTAACCTTCCCTTCTAATCATCTGCCACCAATACTCAGAGTCCACTCTGAGGCTATTTAATACTTGTGAAAGTGCCACATGAATAATCCCAAGTGACTCAAAGACACTCTGTTCATAAGAAAGAGAGAAAACAAATATCTATGCTAGTGTACTTTACATCCTCTGATAAGAGAAATGATTTATTGGCAGAAATGGTAGTTCAGACTCAGGGACTTTAAACCCATGATTATGCAGAGAAGCCTACCACAGTGCAAGTAGTTACTGCTACACAGGTAACGTAGATCCTATCTATTACAGACCAAAAGCCATTAATTAGCTACTGGCTAATAACAATTTTAGATAATTATCAAGTTAGACTACAAATTAGTCACCAGGAAAAGGGCTCTGCAATTCATTACCACACCTAAGTCTTTTCTTTGGGAAGCCTACTCCCTATTTTTTAGTCATAGCTGACTAAACATGAAGGTCCTTGTTCAAATAAGTTTTCCTAATGGTTCATTACAGACATATGTTTTTGTATCAGTCTATAAGGACTCTACAATGATATTTTTATTATGGTAGCCTATACTTTGACTGAAAGCAGCTTGTATTAGAAGCAAACAGAGAACACAATTTCTCAGTAATGTATTGGACATAGCAGAAGTCTGAAGTGATGAGTACACAACATGTTCATACCTGATGTTTTCCATAGAAAAAGGCAGAGTCAATAGTAGTGTTGTTGCGTTCCCCAATGATTAATAAGACTCCCACCAGAACTGTTGGGACTCTGAAAGAGCAAAATAGTAAATATCTAGCATATTTAGCATGCTCTCACTAATTCTGCAGGGAAGCATTTGAATTAACTTACCCCCATCCAGCTATGATGATAAACCCAATGGGAATCTTTACTGTTTCTCTCTTCTTCAACAGAAACAAAGAGAAAGATAGAAAACCTTAAAAAAAAAATAATCTTGTTTATTATTGAAAAGAGAATTGATAAGTACAGACTCTAGAAACTCTATGATGTGACCTGTTCAGTAGCTTCAGATATTCTTCTCAGACTTTTAAATAGTACAAAATTGTTTATCTAGGTGTATTCTGAGAAAGTCAATTAGAAACATCCATTGTCCTAAAAAAATCACATTAATAGTGAAACACTGAAGAAATTTCAGGACATTTTATATAAAACATTTCTAAATGCTAAGAAAGGTTCACAGGAGTATAAAAGATGTCACAAGAATATTTAAGGCACAAGTAACTAATTTCTCAAGGTATCAACAGCTGTTGTTCCAGACTGATACTCTTTAGTAACCAACAGATAATGTATTCTGGTAAAATGTTTCTTTAAAAGCTCACTAGTCCTTTGTAAAGTCAATGATACATTTAACAAAAAATGTCTTGCATATCTTTACATATATAAGTACATATGGGAGTATCTTCTGGAACTGCCTATTCTATTCACAGCTCAGCAACATTCTCATACTGAAGCAAAGTTAGTTATGTTAGAACTCACCAATCATGAGCTACCTATGCTGAACACAAATACAGCTCACTCCAGAAAAGCACCCCAGGAATTAAACCCTTAGACTTCTGGACTCAAGAACAGTGTAAAAAGTCTCCTGTATACCCAAAGTCTCTTTTTTTAATCATGGGTGTAAAGGTCTCCAAGCTTCTTGATGTATCTTTCAATTGTGCCTATTTCAATCCCTTTGCTAATCACACACACACACATACTGTTTTTTGAAATTACAATTGCCAGGGGAAAGAGATGTTAAAGCTACTTTGGTATTTCCCTTCATTCTGTATTTTCTACTTTTTGAGGCACCAAGTTTTTAAATCTACTTAATCCTGAATAATTACAAATATATATAATTATAAATATAATAAATTCAGCTCTGCACTAATTAAAAATGGTCAATAAGGCTTTCACTAGCTGAAGGGCAACACACCATATTCACTCTGTCGGTAGTTGCTTCTGCCTCCAGAGCAGGTTCTCACCTCTTGTCACACACTAGTCAGGCTGCTGTATCTAGCAAAGACATACAAGCCTGCAGCAGAAGCAGTGCCTGACACTGAGCCTTGTGTTGCCAGCACAGCTTGGCACAACTTACAAGTATCCATACTTGCAGAACTATTCTGAAGAATGGAATCTTATTATTTCTGCTATTATTATAAATGTTTCATTACAGTGCTTAGGTCTTGCCTAGAAAAATCATACCTGTCCACAGATAGGTGCTATAAAGTGAGCTGTAGAGGAATATAAATACTAAGATCTGCATGGTGATGTCTTTCTCTTTAACAATGAAATTCCATGCCACCATTCCAATGCAAGCGATAAACTGGAAAGAGAGGTAAGATGCCATCAGTTAAACTGGGAAAGAAGGATGACAAGAAAAACTGAGCACAGTGCAATATACCTGCAATAAGCTTCAAACCTCCACTCCCAGAATGTCATGAGTTTTCACCCAGTGGTACTGTATGTGTGATAATTTTAGTACTGAAGGAATATAGAAAGATAGGCTGAAATACATGGAAACAGTGCTTATACATGACGTTCTTCAAATGTGACCCATGATCAGAGCTCAGAGAGTTTACTATATATCTAAAGAGACATCTTTTTTTAAGACCACAGAACACTTGAGAAAGCATTAGCACACAGATGTGTTACAAGCACAGGCTGTTCTCACTGCATTTACCAGCAGTTGTGCAGGCTTCAAGGGAATCAGGAACAGGTATTCTGTAGTTCTCTCTCAGATTAAATAACAATTAAGATTACTCCAGAGCTATTTGGCTTTGGCCTTCCCTAGCCACGAGCCATGCATTCCCACACCCCTTCCTTGCACCAGCACTTGCACTTGGCTGATCCCTTAGCAAGCCACTGCAGGGGGATAAACCAGTATGGGGATTATTTTCCTATTTAGCTCCTTGAATCAGGTCACTCTAGAGTCAAACCTATGCTGCTGCTGCTCCTGGTATTGCTGACTTCAGATCGGTATAAATTGATACAGAAGTGCACTCAACAGCATTGGGCAGTAACTAAAAATACATTTCAGAAGTCACTCTCCATTCTGACTGCTTATAGTTCTGTTTGAGAACCATAGTACCAGCATTAACTATTATTTTCTCCAAGGGTGTGTTTTAAGGCACAGAACTTGCTCAGATACCTCACACATTAGATTCCCTTGCCCTCCACAGAAGGCTATAAAGATATTACTGTAGAAAACAAACTTGTAAAAAAAGACTTAAGCCCTTAAACTCACACAACAAAATTCTTATTACAACTGACCTGAGCAACAAGTAGATTTGTTGTAATCATATGAGGAAGCTGTTTGTATTTCTTACTCAGGACAACAACAATAAGAGACCAGGTCTGTAACACACAATAAAAAATAATCAATTAATAAAGCAAAACCCAAAAGGACAAGATGAGTATTTTTGCAGACTTTGGTGAAATTAAAAATACAACAAATCTTCCTGAAAAGTTTCTTTGCAACATGACTACTGCAGTCAGCTCCACATCAACTGCTGCCAGTCCCTATGCCTCAGCAGCTGTAGCCAGAAAAACCAATGCATCTTTGTGTTCTCACGATAGTGAAACATTTCCAGGAAGCACCAAGAACTTGCCTCTAGTGTGCAGAAGCCTGTTTGTTCCTCAGGATGTAAATGACTGCAGAGTGGCCTGGCAATTTTCAACTTAAAATCCAGCCCTGCCTCCCCTGAATCTCCCAAAAGGATCTGACAGCAAGAGGCAGCATTCACTTCTGGCTTCCCTTCGGGCACAGTTTCAAGACAAGAGGATTTCAGAGATGCAGCAACTCCAGAAAATTCCAACTCCATCCAACATGGACACTTTTATTTTTAAAAAGCACACAAGATAACCACACTATCTGTAGTTTCTATAAAGCTAAAACATAATTCACATTGGACTTCTGGATTATCAACCCACATTTAAAGCAAATAATTTCCTTGGAAGGAATTTGATAATGCTAAATTAAATTTTTCAAGGTAAACATTTCATTAATACTCAATAAAATAAATATTCACTGACATTTCTGGAGCTGAAGTTCATACACAGCCTTCATTACTGTGATACCCAACCATCCCACTTGGCTTGATGTAATTAGTCCTTGTGGTGTAAGCTAATACTGTAATTCCCTTACACCCTGCTATTAACAAAAGCAAACAAACCCAAACAAAAAAGACAAACTCTCAAGCCCTGAACTCATGCTCTAATTCTGTCACCCATCTTTACAGTGCAGCTTTCCAGCAGATCCACTGCTAAATCAAGATTTTTAACTCCTTCCTCATTCTTCTGCAACAGGATATGATGAGGAAACACAAGTCTGACCGTAACTTGTTTGCTGCTTATGTGCTAATGCTACCCTGCCATGACAGTGTGCTCTTATATTTCACTCCTTCAGCACCTACCAGAGAAATGAGGCTGACGATACTGATGTCAAAGCTAACGTTTTGGAGCGCAGATGCCAGTGGGTTGGGGTCCATGGATGGGATGGTCAACAGCCATGCAGAAACATACATGATAGGTGCAGACACAAAAGTGCTTATCACCATGCCTGAGGTAATCTGCAAAAAAGAGTCAAACAGAAACAAGAACAGAGTGAATCAGATCTCAAGCTATACAGTTATACAGAAATACAGCCACTGGCAAAATTGGACCTTTGAATAAAACATACATAGACCTTTAACAACTGAGTTGTTTCTACAACAAACTATTTAGAATTTGAGACTGAAAGTATCCATTTTATACATTCAGCTAAACTGAAAATTTTAACAAGCTTCTGAAACAGCAGGAGAGTTCCCTGTTGCAAATTCTAATAGAGTTTTTTCATGGGTGTCAAATATACTAATGACTACAGCCTAGGGGTGAATTTACACTGGGCACAATTTACTTTTGGAGGCAAAATATTCACATCATAAATAAACATGTCTTAAATTTGCATAAAACATGTAGTTATGCAGATACTAATGTGCACCAATTCATGAGCAGAAGCCACATATATTTACATGTAAGTAATTTCTAGTTTGGCTTCTCACTCTTTCTGCTCTCTAGAATTTGCACAGTGAAGGAAGTGCTAATTGTTACTCATACTACAGATGTCTGTTTTAAAGAGATTTCCTGAGTTTATAGGAAAAAAAAAAATCTGTCTTGCAAGATTCACATTTCCTGAGTTTATAGGAAAAAAAAAAAATCTATCTTGCAAGATTCACTTTTAGCATCCTTTTTCTCCCCTTTTTTTCTGTAAAAAACCCCAAATATCTAAACAAATAAAAAATAGATCTCATTAATACCAATGCAAGTCAACAGGAATGTTTTAATGTCACTTCAAGTGGAAGAAACAGTTAAAAAATTCGTATTTTAAGTTGAAAACATAATTGGTACCCTCTACTATATATTAAAAAAAGTAAAATGCATTTCTATCACAAGATTTAACTGAAGAGCAACACAACAGAATCAGATCTTCCATACGTTTTCAGCATTAAACTAACACTATTCTACCAAAGTCAGTAACATGATTTCCTACAAAAACAGCATCTCAAAGGTTTGGGGAAAAAATACCACCAAAAAACACAAACCCAAAAAAACCCAAATCCACAACGAAGTTACAAGTTCTTTATATTCAAAATTATCCTTAGTTCTTCCTACTAGAATCACGAATAAAGAAGTGTGAGGATTTATTTGTGAACATGTACTATCAAGACACTTGAGACATCAGGAAGGATCCAGTGAGGTGTTTATGCTGCAGAAAAGCAAATTCATCATCTACTTATTTAAGTCGTTCATTAGTCTTTCATAAGTTCAAAGTTAGTACATATTTGGAAAAGTCTGACCACATACAATTCCTACTTCCATATTAAATTGACTTGCAAATATTGCGACACCAGGTGCTGCTGGAAAAACTCCATACAGAAATGCATAGTTTGATAGACTGGTGTGATTGACCATGCTGTCACTCCTGTCCAAGAGTTCAACCATTTCTCTACAGAGAAATGGCATCATAAGTCTGAAAAGAGAGGGGAAAAAAAGAAATTGGAAAAAAATATTACTCAAGATAAAGCAACAGATTCTGCTTTAGTCAGACAATGAACCAAAAGGAAATTTAAGGCTTGTCTGACTCCTATTTATGAAGATCAAAATACTGACATCACTCTGAATGATTACCTTTACTGGTACCTAGACATTTACTAGCTGCTAAAAAATCTTATGTCACAAGTTACATAAAACCAAAAGAATGACAACAAGCCCTGGGGTCTGAGCAGATTCACTGACCATACTCTTTGTATAAACCTCAGATTTAGAAAGGTAAAACATAAAACCCCCTAATTTCCCAACTGTTGAAGTAATAGTAGCCATAAGTAGTCAGCAGCTGAGAAACTCAGACCACCTTTCTGCAGCCTGTTTCAAATATAACAAGGGCTCAGACGTAAGTATCCCATTCCAAAGGTTTTGGCCAGCAAAACCCACTGCATCAATGCTATTTTGTTCCCCTTTAGCAGCAGCCCAGATCTCACACAGACTCACTATGTAAGCCTAACACAGGCTCACCAGGAAAGCTGTGAGGTAACATTAAAACCCAGTTTTTTCACGTTCTTACAAAATTTGTCATTGGGCTGGTTTAGAGACTAGGCCTTTACATTTGCTACTTGTTTGTACTGCTGATCAAATGCACCTTTAAATTTTACAGTATAAACTTAATCACTAACTAACAACTCTATTCTGTTAATTTTAGCTCTGTAGGAAATAATGTATTTAATTCACCAGTGACTGAGATATATTCAAGGGAAGATCAGGATGGCTTAAGTTCTAAACACGACTTGTCATTTATTCATGCTTAAAAGTCAGGCAGGTAAAAATAGCATAAAGTGACCATTTTATGATCAGCTCCTTGCTGCCTCTTATCAGAGGATGTAAATCCTCCATGTCCCAGCTGCTTGAAATCACATATAAATCACACTCTAGTTGTCTATCCTTAACACAATTACTATCATTGAAGTCATGGTAACTGACCATCATGCACACAACTCTTCTGCTACACCTCTGCTTCCAATACAGCAGTTTCAAAGATTTATAGACAGAGCAAGGGAAACTAACTAATTTAGAGACATATTGTTTAAGCCAAAGAAAATACAGATACTAATCAAATAATACTTAAAGTCACTATTGTCTACAGTACATTTTAATTTAAGCTAGTAATCCCCCAAACACCCAAAGCATGACAGATGGCCCATGAAGCCATAGCACCCCTGACTGTTTTTTCACTGCAGAGCCTGACAACAGGTTTGCAGTCTGCTTAATATCCTTTAGAACTTAACAGCTGTATAGTATGGAAGAGTTTGGGAAGCACTCACTCAACACACTGGAAGTGAAACATCCTATCACTAAAAGCTTTTGAGAGAAAAGCCATCTGACCAGTATTTTCAGAGCTTGAAATATCTAGAGAATGGAATCATAAAAAGACATAAATCAAACTTACAGTTTAGCTGTGATGAGAAGGATCAGTGCAACAAACATACCCTTTGTCAGTTTCTTGGTTTGTCCCACCATTGTCAGTCCAAGGTAAAAAAGTGCAGAGCCAGAAAATGAACTACCCAGTCCATCAAGGAAGTTTTCAAGGTATTCGGGAATTTTCTGGCCAAGAATAAAGTTTGAGGCAATTCCTATGAAGACCATGAATACAATTGGGTTCTGCAAAACTCGAAGGAGTGCTAGGCCCACTATTTTGATTTTGCTCTGTGACACTGTGCGATTGTCCCTCCACTTCTGGATTTCACAGAAGATAAATCCCAGAGGATTTAGCATCATAAGAGATATTGGAGCCACTAGGTAAATGTACTGGAGATACTCTGGGTAAGTGGTTTGATATAAAGCTTCAACTAGAAGACAGGAAATAAAGAGTGATGAGTGATAACATTTCAGTACAAAAATATATCAATATTGAAATTAACTTTTGCTGTCTGAAAACTAATGAAAATTATGTCATTTTCCTGTAGAAGTAACTGAAGGAATCAATTTTATTACTAATCAATATAGGATGATGCAGTAAGAGAAGTATGCCCAAGCACATTAGGCCACAGTCATCTAATGAACACATTAAAGACCAAAGATTAACTATCCAATACTATTTAATGGTTCTATGAATATTCAACATTTACAGAAAGAGAAAGAAAACTATAATATGTGTCCTTTGAGTCCGTCCAAGTGTCATAAAAATTTCTAACTTGCTTTTTCTTCCAGAAACCTGGTGGTTGTATAGAATTAAATGCACTTTTGCAGGTCACAAGTTGCTTCCCATCTTAGGGGAGTCTCACAGCTCTGGAATTTCATGAGTTTTCAGTGGGTTGGTCAGGTGTGATCTTTCTACATTGATTCAATACAACACAACAAAGCAACAACCAAATAAAAAGTAGTTTATCGTGTAATTATTTTGTTCATTATCTGGGACTACTCAGGACAAGAGTTATGATGGTAGTTATGGTCCCTCAAGGAACTTTAAATCAAGAGCTTTTGTTTTCATTGCTACTACACATCTGAGTCAAAGTAGAATTGCTTCTTATTTCAAGTTGGTACTAACAGCACTTCAAAAATAATGAAAATCCTTTGAAAAGATATACAAGATTCAATTCTAGGGTAAATTAAAAAAACCCCAATGCTTTAAAAGTAGAATTTTATCTTTTATCTGCCCCATAATGCTACTATATTCAATAATTTTCTTGTTATTAATAATTATCAGTAACATCTTGTAAGTATTAATAGAATTCCAATTATAGTATTATATAGTTAATATTAATCACAATATCACATTATATGTATTATACATAGTGTATATATATTATCCATAATATTAATAATGATTAACAACAATATTATTAACCTGTTATTTTTCCTCAAAAGGTTTTATCCCATTACTATATTTTTCAAAATCAAAAAGATTTTTACCTTCATATTATTTAAGCCTCTGGAATGACAGAAACTCCTGAGTGCTAAGTCAGCACTCCCTGGAAACAGTCTGCTCTATATACTGAACAAACTGACCTCACTTTCTGATATTTGTAAGAAAAGCACTAAAGGTGTTTCCCTCTTACAGGCCACGATTAAAGTACTTATACAAGAGCTAACTGTCCTAAAATCCTGAATAAACTGATGATTAGAACTAGCAAGTTTGTGGTTAGTTACTGCATTTAACAAGCCATTTTTAAACACTACATACATTCTGATATCTAAAACCACTTGACATATGCTAGACACTTTTTATGTAAATAATTCTTTTTCTAAAACTTCAGACCTCAGAGTGATGTTTTGTGCTGCTTTGTACAGAATGCCCATTTCAGTCAAATGCAGCTCAACACAAGTCACATGTAAGTAATGCCCGAGTGAAAATTTAAAACATCATTACTTTCTGGCAAAGTGAAACTCAATGCCTAATACAATATATTAAGGTCTATGAATACTTTAACTGATGTTAAAGTCACCAGGCATTTTCCTGGGTACAGAAAGAAGAACTAGATCACCAAGTCAGTCTTAAGGAATTATTAAGACAGTGAAAATAATCCACACTGATGAAAATTCTTCTTTTTATTTAAATCAAGGTGCCTCCTTACTGATCATAACAAAAAACTGAAATCAAAGATACTTTTATCTCTAAAAAATAAGTCAATTGTCTATGTCCCAGCTGCTCAAAATTACATGTAAATCATGTGCTGGTTGTCCATTACCAACCCAATTACTATCATTAAAGGCATGGTAACAGAACCATCATCCACACAACACCTCCGCTACACCTGTGCTTTAACAATACAGCACTGCAGAGTAAGTGAAGTTGTTCTGTCAGTTGCATCATCTCACCCAGTAACAAACCCCAAAACTTTCTATCATGGCAATTCTATCTACATCAAGGGGTGCTAGCAAACCTCTGGGCCGTTTTTTTTCACCCCAAAATCACTTCATAATGTAGAACGGCCATAACCACGATAATAGAAAAATGGAGTTAGAATCTTTGAAAAATTAACCTGCATTTTTATTTTCCCGTGTGCGAATCTCTGTTAAACAGCAAAAAAAAAGCATAGTAAATAAATAATAAATAGCAGTAGCAACATATTAAAAATTTACATAGGATGAAGACTCAGGAAGTTATTTATTTAAGAGTTCAAACTGCCTTTTTAAATAGTGTTGTTTTAGTACACAGATTTATCAATACTGATTTTCTTCCTTTACAAATTTCAACTGCTATAGCCTTTAAGAATATTTTTCCATTAAAAGATCATGTTTTGTTCGAACACTACCTGTCACCATACATAAAAAGAAACAAGGCATTCTTTGTTGCCCAGTCCTGCAAACACTTCAGAGAAGCCATTAATGATAAAAAGTTTGCCTAGGTGACAGCACGAACCAAACACTCCTGAACGTTTGGGGATGGGAGAAGTGAAAGGACAGGAGAGGAAATAAAAATCTCTTAGAAAGAAACAAACCTCAAAAGCCTACAGTGCTACTGTTGCAGTAAGTATTCCAGTAAAGCTCTTCACGAACCAAACGGTGCAGATTTTGGCCAGAACATACACAGAAAAAACATCAATCATATCTTACAAATTATGAAATACTTGCAGAAATATGTAGTCTGACATGAAAGTCAAAGTAGAAAGAATGTTTTAACTAGGATACAATGGAAATACATTCATACAACACCAAAATATATTAAAAAAACCATAAAATGCATAGGAGGAAACAAAGATATAATCCTCACAGCTCTATTTGTCATATACTTCTGATTTCTCTAAGGGGAATAAATATCAGGAGATGCAACTGAGGGAAACAGGGCATTTTCATATAAAGACAATAAAGTTTGCAATTGAATTGTTCTACTTTTTATACACATGTAGCAAATACAAAGAGAGCAAGAAAGACTGAAGGTTCTTCTGAGCATGCTGCCCTGGAATGGGGAGAAAGAAACTGCTAGCTCCTCAAGTAATATAACTTATGGAGCTACTTGTTATGTATAATCTGGAATTGCAAGTATAAGCCTCTCTTTCGTAACTGTATTTTCAATCCTGTAATCAAGTGTCCTGCTTTTTATTTTGCTAGAACAAAACTGTTTCCTTTTTTTTGTTCTTAACCTTGCCTAGATGATGAGTGATCTCAACAGAGTTTGAGAGGCACTTCAGAAACTACTTTGGTAGCACAGAACTTCAGAAGTCAATTCCAAATTATGGAAAAATAAAAGCAAACACATCTAGGACAGTGAAAACAAATTGTAAAGAAGAAAGCATACTTACCTATTGGATATCCTAGTGCAAAGTCATTGCTTTGTGTGGCAAAAATAGGGAACAAACCTGCTTTGCTAAATCGATTTTCAGGACTGGCTACCAACAATGTTAAAACGCAGACTAAAAAAAACACAGCAGCTTTGGCAACTAAAACACTGTACAGGAAGGACCAATTCACATTAGAAAAGTTAAGTACCACCATGTTTTTGAAGAGTAAAGCTGGGAGTGCAAAACGGGACACAAAATTTCCCAGTCCTTTGGCCTGAGTTGATGTGATAATGTTGGCTCTTCCAGCTATATAGCCACAAAGAATTATTCCAAAGCATTCTAACAGGGCTGGGAAAAGCCTGCTTATTGACATAGAAGGAGTACCACTGGTGGTATTGAGTCCAGCTTGTCCTGGCAAAGAAATAGACATATTGGCTGAGGCTGAGAGATTCTTTGCAGTGAAGTCTGAATAGCTATCCATTTCCTTCGACCACCTCTTCCAAAAGAAGCGTATGAAATGATTTCATCTGTAAAAGAAACAGAAGTATATTTACTAACTTTCAGAAGTGTCTTTGTGAATATTCATGGCCCTAGGTTTCCTAACAGAAGAGTTTACACAAGTGCATTGCAAACAAATAATGAGACAAATATTAAATAGCTAAAGAGAAACAACTCTGAGAACGAAGGCTGAAAAATCATTCCATACACACATGATCTTCAGACATCATCTCGCAACTCCATACAATTCAACAAGAGAATTGATAGAAGCTAAACATCCCCAAAGACATTAGAAGGCAACACTGAAATATTAAAACTAAATGTAGATTGGAGATTCAAAATGAAAAAAACCCCTCTTTTTTTGGAAGAAAAAGATAAACAAAGACTTGTTTTGTTGTTAATCGAAGATCTAAATTTCATTTAGAATAAATTACAACCCTTCAGCATTTTCCAGTCATTGCTTCAGAAAACAGTAATTGCTAAATTCTCAGCACATATTTCTCACTTTCAGACTACCAGTAGAAGCCTAGTTAACTCTATAATACTAAAGCACAAGACTCTTACATCTTGTTAGCAGTCTGTAACCTACACATTCTCTGCATATCAACCACTACCCTCCTTTGCCTTCTTATTCTTTGAAGTCCAAGTCAATGCCCTCTTAAATTTTTATGGAAGAGACAATGGGAATAGCCCTTATAAGAACTGAGCACCAGGCAAGAAGAGAAATTTGACCAAGAATCAC